GCAGTGAGAGGCCCGCGTACCGCAAAAAAAAAAAAAAAAAAAAATTAAAAAAATATTAAAAAAAAATAAAAATGGGATTTTGTACTGTAGGCTCAAAGGAACCACTGTGTATATGCAGAAGTCAAGCCACAAATCTATTATAAATCAGAGGTTTATTATTTATTACTGTGTTTAATTTTATTATAATTTTTAACTTGGTTCACAAAGTTATCTGTGCTTGTGGTGCTCTCTGTGCATAACTATTAGAGGCATATTATTTACATTGGCAGAAAAACATATCAAGTGACCAAAATATAGAGATGACGTTGGCAAATATTGACTGGACCAATGCAAAGCTTGCAAACTGACTACCAGTCAGGGAACCTGATACTTGTGGCAAACCTGTTTGTAAGGCTGATACTCATCTCATAAGCAAAACCCCTTCTTGTTGCTACACACATGCTAGGAGAAAATTCCAGCAGATATCACTGGGCACTGAAAGCAATGTCTCCCTCCAAATTAGTATGCAAACTCTTCTTTTCTCTCTCTCCTTTTTTGTCTGCAAGGAATATAAAGCACAGCTTGGGAGAAAATGCACCTGCATGGAAATGCGTGGACACGAAGTTCCAGTTATGAGGGAAGGGGCAGCAAAACATGCACTCCTCTCGTGAAACAAAATGTTCATTGGCCCTATTAATAATCAATTAGATGGAGAGCTACCTGATGCTATACATCTGGTGACGCCTCCAGCTGCCAGCAGCTTTTTCCCCTGATAAAGCTGATGCTGCTTTAAAAAAGTCTCTTTCCTGTTTAGCAAGACTAAATTCAGCAAAATCATCTATTCTTTTGCACTTCACCCCATATTTTCCCACTTGCTAATTAGAGATGCAAATGTGGATAAGTAAGATGACGGTTTTTAAGCACAACTGGGTCAATATGTTGAATATTGTGCCCTGTTCCTCCAATTAGACTCCTATGAGAAATAGTTCGATTATAATTAGGGGAGCAATTATCCCCTTGTTTAAGGTGAAACAAATCACAGGTTTGTTTTAGTGAAAAATTCAGCTTTGCTCCTTCTGCCATGCCAACAAATCTTGTATCCACTGATGTTCTGATACCAGTACTCTCCAAAAGAGATAATCTGATGAAATAAAGCATCTCTGAGTATATTTCTGGCTCACCATATGACAGCAACATTTTCCAGGCGTAAACTAAAATGAGCAAAGAGGGTTCATTTCATACAGTGCTGCTGTTATGCCACTGGAGCAACCCAGCACCCGTGCACGGGCATATTAATCTTCTGGCTTCTTTGGGGAGATGGCGGGTTTCTGCCAAAAGGCAGGCAACTGCCTCCCCAGACATGGGAGAAAAGCATTATATTTTTGGCTTGATCCTAGCAAAAGAGGTATTAAAAATACTGAGCAATACCATTTTAGAGTATTTCTGGGATTTGTTATTCTTTCTTTCACCTAGTCTACTTTTCATTTAAATATAATTATTATTAACCTATCCTACAGTCCTTGAACTAAAGTAACTCTCAATGGCCTTTTATTCCCATCTAGTGGGTCAGAAGCACTAGACCGATAGATTCCCTTACTCCACCCTCACTGAGTTCTCTCAGTATGCGTCTTCAGAGGTGACAAACATCTTTTCTCCGAGAAGTTCCATTTCCTGAGGTGCCGCCTCCGTGTCACATCCAACAGGGACTCTTTATTTCATTTAGTTAAATATACTTAGAGAATCTACTATGCAACCTACAGTCTGCTGGTGTTAGAAACATGAACAAAAATCCCGTTTTGTTCCTTATTTCATCCCAGTCTAATCAGGTAGGACAGTAGTAAACAGATATATTTCAACACAGATAATAGTTGGAGCTGTAAAAAATCAGGGTACCTAGGGGCTGATGTTCAGGCAGTTATACTGGTTCATTCATACCAGATGTTAAATACTGAATAGTTCTGCATCCGCTACTTAATAGCTGACATATTTTTTTTCTTAACCAATGAGTACTGAGAGGAGTTCTTAGTCAACAGTGCTACAACCTGGATAGATAGCATGTAAGGAATCCTGGGTTGGCCACTTCCTCCTCTGACACTTTCTTTGTCCCTCTCTTTCCTTTGGCTTGGAAAAGGAGAGCTACCAACAGTAGCCCCAGCCCAGATTTCCTCTTTGGGAGAAAATATGAAGTCTGGTCCAATGTCTTGGTCCATTATGACTAAACAGACAACTTGAAAAATCAGAGTAAGGACAGCAGCACATCAGGACTTGCTGTAGATATTCACGTTAACAAGTCATTTGTAAAGTAAATATGTTACATCAATAAGGGAATTTCCTGGTTTTAAAGCTCAAACGTTATCTTCATTTGTAGCATTTATGGACTCTAACCAAAGTAACTGGCTAGAAAACACAGGAGGGCATCTTTGTGATTCTTCATAGGGTAGAAGCTTCATCTCTGCATACCCCACAGCGCCCAACAGAGCTGCACTGTGCTCAGTGACCACTCCGAATTCAAGAGGTCGAACTGAGTCTTCTGTGAATCAATAGGTGATATAATAATAGCACTAATAATGCTAGTGAGTGCTTCTACATGGTTTAAGTGATTTGCATATAGCTCATTTAACCTTCAGCTACATTCTGGAGAGACACCGTTCATTATTATATCCATTTTGTAATTTAATTGAGGAAACTTAGATACCGAGGGCTGAAATACCTTGCTTGAAGTCCAAGACTTAAAAATGGGGACACTTGAGTTCAAACCTAGAGTTCTGTAAGGAAATTAGTTTAACGTTCTGTAGCAGAAATTAAAGCCAAAATAGGGGAGAAAATTAAATGTTATTTATTACCTCAGATATGCCTGTACCATTATTTGCACCAAAGGTGATGCTTCTGTAACTTAAGATTAGTAGAGCTCTTTGGAAACCTACTGACTTTTTTTTTTTTTTTTTGGTACGCGGGCCTCTCACTGCTGTGGCCTCTCCCTTTGCGGAGCACAGGCTCCAGACGCGCAGGCTCAGCGGCCATGGCTCACGGGCCCAGCCGCTCCGTGGCATGTGGGATCTTCCCGGACTGGGGCACGAACCCGTGTCCCCCGAATCGGCAGGCGGACTCTCAACCACTGCGCCACCAGGGAAGCCCCCTACTGACTTTTATGGGAAGGAAATTATTGTCTCCTGATATTCTGCAAAGAATGAACTTGACTACTTATTCAATGATGCTAGATATATACTTATTAAACAAAGATAAATTGAATCAGTCAACTATGTATTTGTTGAGTGTTTACTGAGTTTTTCAGATTCATTTGCCTTGCATACAAAAGAAGCATAAATCCTTGTCAGCATGGCCTGATGTCTTAAGGACTGATTTTGTTTATAGTAAAACATGAGAGTTTTACCTGGTTTCCTTTTAAGATCAATATTCCATTTTATGCTATTTTCATGCTTTTAAATTCCTCAAATAAATAAATAAAATATTAAATGATAAATATATATATCATTAAATTAAAATAATCTTATAATCCCTTAACTCACCACGTTACATTTCATCCCTTTCTTCTTTAATTTATCTGCCCCTCCTGAGCAAATGACAGTTGTAACATGTCACGTTAAGGTATTCATTAGATTTCTGATCTTGGTGATTCTAAGGGTGCTGAAAATAATCGACACAGGAGTTTATTAGCCTGCTCTCAAGCATGTGTGTTTGATCTCTCTCTTGACTTCCAGAAAAAGGAAAAATACTCACATTATAGTTCTGTGAATGTCAAATGGGTATATGATTTTTGAGCTTGCCAAGTGTTAATTGGTCTCTTCCCCAGTGATGATACAGATAAAATTCACAGCCAATTAGTTTGCACTCTTGAATCTTTACTCCTTGACAAAGTGAACCACTTTGCAGAGGAGACCAAGAAAATGAAGAAGTTATAGAATCTCCTCACTGGAAATCTCTGCAGGGATTTGCTCTCTTTAAGAAACATCAACTCAAGAAGAGTCTATGGATACCTATGTTACTCAGGATATGTTTTGGTCTTCAAGATAGTTTAATGGTGGAGGTTTGCATTAGAATTTTAGAAATACAGTTAAGGAGACAGATGCACTTATTGTCCTAAGTGAAAGGAAATATTGAATAGAGAAGAGCTGCCTACTTTATAATCACAATAAATCATATTGTGTGTCATTGTTGGAAGATAAGGTTTTGGAGTGCCTGGATAAAACAGCAATAATCATACAAAGTCTCTGATACAGTGCTAAAGTGCCATGGGGTGCCAGGAACAAGGCAAAAAACAGCTCTCTTCTTTCAAAGAAAAAAGGAAATTTCATTAAGAGTGCCACTTAGAGCCTTTGCATTGATACATTGGAGATATGGATGACTGTGACAGAAAAATGGGCATTTTATTGTTTGGTGCTAATAAAAAGTCATGGTATAAATCTGATTTGTAATATTTCATTAACTATCAATAGGCTTTGTTTCACCAAAAACAGAAAATGAAAATAAAGAGCTAATGGAAAGCTTACAGGATGAAACTAACGGACATTCCTCATACATGTTTTTATTCATGGTGTGTGGCTATGGCTTTTAGGTATGTCCATAAATATATCACAGAGCAGGAAATATATATGTGGAGTGCACAGGCTCACACACACACACACACACACACACATGCCTTTCTTACATTTTTTGCATAGTATCAAGAAAAATAATAAAATTGATGGTACATTATTAAGTCATACCACCTTTCTCTATAATTAGTGCCAGGTAAAATAAAACAGTGTTTCTGATTTCTTAAAAGACAGTGACCAAATTAAACCAAGCTGCCTGTGGCTTTGTCCAGTGGGGCATTCTAATTGACTCCAAGTCATTAATCAGTTTCCAATCAATCTATATTGCCAGTAGCAAGCAGTTAGGACTCCATTACCGACCATTCATCATGCCATACCCTAATTCACTGCACCATTAGCCATGGACTAGGCCTCCGTTAGAATAACTTAAGTGCCAACTGCTAAATGTGAAGAATTTTTGCTACTCACTTCAGCCACTGGGATCCCTTCTGGTGGTCGACACTGGAGCAAGACTTCCTGTTCCAAGGATACTTCCTTTCCCAGGGGTTCCTGCTCAAATGTCTTCCGCAGATCTGGAAAGCACCAGTAATAAAATATAAGACAAAACTAATTAACATTTATTCATTTATTGGAAGTACAATAAACATTCTGCAGCTTCTTATTTTATGTTTCTTTGTATTTTTTAATCATGTTAGTACTGTACCATAATGTGGGTGATTATATTCTGTGTACTGGAAATTATGAAACTTGGAGGCTATTAACTCTTCCTACTTTAATCTTCACTGGAATGCTTTGGAGATCCTCATTCTAACAATTAGTGAAACTCATTCGTTGCATTTCCTTACTATTTCTTAATAATCAACTATAATGATCACATTTTTTTTTTTTTTGCGGTACGCGGGCCTCTCACTGTTGTGGCCTCTCCCATTGCGGAGCACAGGCTCCAGACGCACAGGCTCAGCGTCCATGGCTCACGGGCCCAGCCGCTCCGCGGCATGTGGGATCTTCCCGGACCAGGGCACGAACCCGCGTCCCCTGCATCGGCAGGCGGACTCTCAACCACTGCGCCACCAGGGAAGCCCACTGATCACATTTTTAATCAAAAGAATCCCATTGTCATGATGCTTATTCATGAAGTCCCTTAGGTATATTCTTACTTTTTCTTTCTTCCCAATAGATAACTATTGTAGTGTAATAGCTCTGAGATCTTTTGATAAATAACTCAAAAGCAAGTTTCTGTTCAGAGTGAAAAACAGAATGCTGGAGTCCTGAAAGAATGAATATAGCTTCTTGAGGTGTCTCAAACACAAGACAGGGAAAAGAGTAACTATTGGGATGAGTCCAGAAATATCTCAATATCTAAATTATGTGACCATTCTGCAATTAGAAGATTAAACAGTCATTTCTGCTCAAATATACCAAGAATCTAATTATGTATTTATATCAGTGGTCCCCAACCTTTTGGGCACCAGGGACCGGTTTCGTGGAAGACAGTTTCTCTACGCACCAGGGTCGGGGGAGGGTTGGCGAGGGAGGGACGGTTCAGGCGGTACTGCGAGCGACATGGAGCCGCGCATGAAGCTTTGCTCACTCGCTGCCCACCTCCGGCTCTGCGGCCTGGTTCCTAACAGGCCACGGGATCAGGGGTTGGGGACCCCTGATTTATATAGTTATAGTTGCTACAGCAATATGCAGTACAATTTTAAAAACTGCTATTGATGGACACGAAAATGTTAGAAACCAGTTTGTCATTTTAAACGCCAAAGCTAAAAAGTACATGAGTCAGTCATAGAGCTTTGAAGCAGCATTTTTTTTAAAGCAAAGCAAAAAAATTATTTCATATATGTACTCTTCAGCTCCTTCCCATTAAAAGTTATTGGAATTTTACCCAGTCGATTTTAGTAAAAAGTTAATGCGTCTTTCCTTTCATCCCATGTCCCCAGCAATGACTTCAGAATCTAAAAGCACCATTTCAGCCTACTGAACTAATGAGTGGAAATCTGAAGACTCTGGAGGTGTGCCTCTAATGTCAAGGAGCTATTAGAAAGCACCACTTGGAAAATGCACTGACAAAAAAAATTCATTGTCATATATTTGCCATTTGGTTGAATTTCTTGGCAGAAGAAAACCTTCAAGAGCTTAGGGGCTGTGAAAAGATAACTGGATCTAGGTGGGTCTGAAGTAAGACAAGAGACTCTACAAATGGTGACAGAATTTCTGTCAGAAGGGCATTTCTAATTTGATTATCAAGAAATTGAGTATGTTGCAGGAATGAACACTTAAAATCCACAGAGTTATTAGAACTTGAAAGTTATCTAAACCAGGTCCTTATTTTACATATGAGAAACACATTTCTCAAGTTACTCAAAGCCTCACAGCAAAATAACTGATGCTGCGTTAGAACCTGCTGATTTGATACATATTTTTCTATCCCACACATCCCTTCACATCTCTTTTGGTTGATTTGTGTCCTTTCAACAGAAACATTAAAACTTCTTCTACTCTTTCTTTTCTCATATAGTAGCTTCTCTTTGTTTTTAATCTGCATTAAGATGAAATTTTGGCAAAACACCAAGTATTAATAAAAGCAATAGCAGGAGTGAATAACTTTAATGGGATAAAATGTTCTTGACAGGGTATATCTTGTTGGTGAAAAATGATTCTAAAAAACTCCCATCTGGGCTTCCCTGGTGGCGTAGTGGTTGAGAGTCCGCCTGCCAACGCAGGGGACGCGGGTTCGTGCCCCGGCCGGAAAGATCCCATATGCTGCGGAGCGGCTGGGCCCGTGAGCCATGGCCGCTGAGCCTGCGCGTCCGGAGCCTGTGCTCCGCAACAGGAGAGGCCACAGCAGTGAGAGGCCCGCGTACTGCAAAAAAAAAAACAAAAAACACAAACCTCCCATCTGATGCAGGGTAGGGTGAAGACCTAAAGACTGGAATTAGTTCTCAAATCAAATAACATATTGACTCTCAGTTAAACTAACCAGCATATCACAAAATAAGGATTGAGAATTAGAAAGAGTGAGGCACATATATATCCAAATAGTCAAAACAAATTCCTTTAACATTTGTAAATTATCTCCTTAAGGCAGACACTTTATTAGGTACTCAGGATGAAGATATGTAAGATTCAGAATCAAGACTAGAACGGTAAGCTGAGATCTATTTATGAAAAGCCTTCCTGCCATGCTAAGGAATGGCAAACCCTCAAAGGCTTTTAAGCAGAGGAGGGAGATAGGATGTCATATTGCCCTCGGTGTGATTGAGGTGGTGGTGAAGAAGCAGAAGGTAGTTAGGAACCCATTTGAATAGATCAGGAGGGATGACGGGGTCCTGAACTCAGCTAGTGACAGTGGACAGGAAGGGGAGAAAGCAGATTCTAGTAATAAATAGATCATATGCTGAGGAAGACCTAGGTATTTGGAGAGTGAGAAGAGGAAAAGATAATACTATATTCTTAGCTACTGCAATTGTTAAGTTGATACCATCATTAAATGAAATAATACCAAATTGGGCAGGAAAGTGGTGAGAAAGATAGCAAATTTATTTTGGTACATGTTCAGTTTGGTGCAGCTGTAGGCTATTCAAGCGGAAAAGTCCAGTAGGTCCATATCATGATTTCTCAACCTCAGCACAACTGACATTTGGGACTGGATAATTCTGTTGTGAGGTTGCCCTGTGCACAGCAAGTTGCTTAGCAGCATCCTTGGACTCTACCCAACAGATACCAGTAGCACCCTTCCAAGCCATGGCAAAACAAATGCCTCCAGATAATGCCAAATGTCTCCTGACATGAAAAATCACCTCAAGTAGAGAACCACTGGTCTAGAGTTTGGAAAAGAAGGCCTGGTGAAAGATCTGTGCTTCATTGTCTAGGAGATAGCTGAAGCACTAGAAATAGATGACACTACCAGGGCAGGGAAAAAAAAAAAAAAGAGGACACCAACATTCAAGAGGAAAACCTGCCTGCAAAAATGATATGGCGTGAGCAAAGACGTCGGAGAAAAACCAAGAGACAAGTGTCAGAGAAGCCAAGAGAAGAATAAAGTTTTAAGAAGTTGGGAGGCCAACAGGACAAATGCAGCAAAGGACTCAGAAGGAGAAGTTTGGGGAATTTAGGAGTGAAGGGGGAGTAGAAGCCCAGCTGAGTTGAGGGTGCACAGGAATTGGAAAAATGACCATCAGGAGAACTCCTACTCTTTTGCAAGATTTTATGGTGATGGAAGTCAGCATTAAGGGATGATGGGTTCGAATGGAGCAGGCTATAATTCTTCTTAGGATATGGTATAGTTTTGGGCACAGTTTTCAAATTCCTGCCATATGAAGGCACACCTTTTGAGAATCCTCATTTCCTAATTGAGAATGGTGACCACACATCAGAGTCATGTACTTCAAAAGACAGGTTTAACTGAACTATCACTGAATACCATATAATTCTGTTGTTTTGATGTTATTTAATTTTAAACTCTATGTAAATTTTATCTAATTTCTAAAATGATTCACATTTAACCCTCAACAAAGTAGTACTTCTTCCTGAAAAATCCTTTTAATTCCTGCCCAAAACCTCTTCTCTAGCTTTCAGGTTGTGTAAAGAGCACAGAATATATTGCGCTGTCCAGCATGGCAGCTGCTCCTTTCATATGCCTCCACGGTACTCTGTAAGGGGGTGAGTAGCATTCTAAGCATATCCTTTATCATTTGGAGAGATGTGATAGAAGGCAGGCTGGATGACTTGCAGGCAGAGAGAACACGAGGGTGATGAATGGATAAGCATGAAAAATGGACACTTGTCAGCTAGGAATTAGATGTAAAACAGAATGTTTTAGAATAATGTGGGCATTCCTGTCAGGAAAAAGATGAATTTTTTGCCCTTGGAAGACCTTTAGGATTCTACATTTCTGTTTTCTTTCCATTAGTTCTAAGGCTGCTACTAAAATAAGTATAAAGTCCTTTCATTATAACCTAGATTACTTTTGCAAAGTAAACTCGGCTTACCTCTGATTTAGTCATTGACTCCATCAATTAAAAGAAAAATCAGCTTTGTCATATGCATGCATTCAGAGACATGTTTACTTAAGAACATGAATATTGGCTTACTAAATCCATACAGAGAAATCCAATTAGCAGATGTAGAATCAGACCTGAAACTATATGGACTTCTATTTACCATTTACACAGTAATCAAAGAAAGCCTTTTAGAACACACACATGTGTGGGTGTACACGGCATCTCATTTTTTTTTTTTTTTTTTTTTTGGTGGTACGCGGGCCTCTCACCGCTGTGGCCTCTGCCACCGCGGAGCACAGGCTCTGGACGCACAGGCTCAGCAACCATGGCCCACGGGCCCAGCCGCTCCGCGGCACGTGGGATCCTCCCAGACCGGGGCATGAACCCGCGTCCCCTGCATCGGCAGGCAGAGAAACTCTCAACCACTGCACCACCAGGGAAGCCCGGCATTTCATTTTTTATGGTAGAATTCTGATGCTGTCAATGAATTTTTTTGCACAATAATAATACTGTGGTTACAAATTATTTATGATGTGAAACCCACTAATTTCATGGCATTCTACAAA